GGGTCTTTGTGGACAGGGAGCTCCCACTTGAATCCTGTCTCTCTGTCTCGCACTCTCATCCCATCCCCCTCCATCCCCTGTTGCTATGGCCTCTGGATGTTGACCTTGCCTGGTGTCTCTCGTGGACACTGCATGGGCTGCCCTTGTCCCCTATAGCCCGTTTCAGCTGCTGAGTTCATTTTGCTCCTCCCCTCCCACCACCTTCCCTGACTCGCAGTGGCCTCCCAGGGATTAGGGGCTGTGCCACGTGCCCTTCCTTTTCCTGCTGAGCCCCCTGCGAGGCAGCCTCCCTGTGGGGAGGGAGGGACCAGAGCTCTGTCCCCTGAAGCTGCACCCGGTCATTTGTGTGCCCGCAGCACGTTCATCATCGAGAAGCAGCCCCCTCAGGTCCTGAAGACCCAGACCAAGTTTGCAGCCACCGTGCGCCTGCTGGTGGGCGGGAAGCTGAACGTGCACATGAACCCGCCCCAGGTGAAGGCCACCATCATCAGTGAGCAGCAGGCCAAGTCTCTGCTCAAGAACGAGAACACCCGCAAGTACGTCGCCCTCCCTCCGCCTGCTTATCCCCAAGCTCAGCCTCTGCTCTACGGCAGGAGTCCTGGGTGATGGGGACAGCAGAGCCGCCCTCTCTGCAGCCCTTTGCCCTGCATTGCCACGTGGTCCGGTGTCTCTCCAGGACACTCTGTGCTGGTGTTCACCTCCTGCTAGAGCCTCCCCTGTCCCTGCCATGCCTGGGACATAGTAGGTCAACAGGGATTTCACTGCTGGGGTGTCCGAGGACCTGTGCTGAGCACTGGGACACAGCTGTAAGCCACACAGAACTTGGCTCTGTCCTCGTCCAGCCTCTAAACTAGCAGAGCAAGCAGCAGACACGAGAAATGACTAATGACTAGCAGGGGACAAGGGAGAGGTATAGGGCACGTGGAAGTGGGTCATGGAGCGGGTGGAGCAGAATGACAATTAGTCCCAAGGCTGCAGGATGACTAGGAGGATCGAGGGAAAGGGCACGGAGAGGGAAGACTTTCAGGCAGAGAGACGTGGGCCTGTCCTGAGGAAGGAGCAAAGAGAAGGCATATGTGGCTAGAGAACCCAGGGGTCCAGGGATCTGGCAGTCCAGCCACAAATTGAATGAAGGAAGAGTGAGTGAATGGGAGGCGGGGTCATGTGCATTGAGGCCCACCGTGTGCTCTGGGGATAGGATGACAAATATAACAGAGGTCCTCACTCTCTTGGAGCTTATGTTTGGGCTGAGGAGGGAGACAGTCATATATCCTTAAAAATCAGGCAGTATCAAAAGGTTATAGACTCTAGACAGAAAATTGAAACAGAGCAATATCACAGCGTCTGAGTAGTGGTCAAGGAGGGCCTTTCTCAGGAGATATTTGAGTCAAGACCCGAAGGAGGTCAAGAGTGTTCGAGACCATAGGAAGGGCAAGGACAGAAGTCCCGAGGCAGCACAAAGACTGCGTGTTCACAAACAGACAAGGCAGTAGGCTGGCTTGTCCTGAGTGAGGGGAGAGGAGCTCAGTGAGGCCAGGGAGGGGGGCAGGGTCATGACGTTTATCTCAAGTGGCACTAGAAGCTGCCAAAGGTCCTCACATCAGTCTCCATACCCAAGGAATTTTGATAGAGACCAGGCCCCACTCTTGGAGACCTCACTTGGGTGCTCCCAGGCTGATGAAAAAGTGAGCCCAGCGACACGTGGAGGAGAAACGGTCTCAGGGGAGGGGCGGGGGCTGCTGGCTGGGCTTGGTGGAGAAGCCCCGGCCTGAGGTGCGGACAGGACCGCGCTCCTGGCCCCGGCCCCGGCCCCGGCCCCTGCCCCTGCCCAGTGGAGATGACTTCCTCTCCCCTTCGCAGTGAGTGCAGTGGAGAGATCTTGAACAACTGCTGTGTGATGGAGTACCACCAGGCCACAGGCACCCTCACCGCCCACTTCAGGAACATGGTGAGAACCGGGCCGGGCCGTGGAGGGGGGCTCTGCTGGAAACTGAGTCCCCATAACCAGCTGCGTTCTCCTCATCCCGCTCTGACCTCCTGCCCTGCAGTCGCTAAAGAGGATCAAGCGCGCTGACCGACGAGGCGCAGAGTCTGTGACAGAGGAGAAGTTCACGGTCCTGTTTGAGTCTCAGTTCAGCGTCGGCAGCAATGAGCTTGTGTTCCAGGTGAAGGTGAGGCCCTGCTGCTCCCCCATCCCCCACAGGCCTCTGGCAGGCTTGAGAAAGCCAGAGACTTGAATCCTCACCCAGGCACAGTCCAGGTACCCTGAGATGCTCTCAGAAAACCTAATTTCACTCTGCTGGTGCCTGTGTGCTGGGTTATAGTCTGGCACCAGCCCACAAAATACAGGCAATGGGCCAAGAAGAACTCTGCTGTGTGTTTTTTGTTTGCTTTTGCTTTGGTTATGCTGGGGGGGGGCTTGAGGAATGAGGTTTGGGAGTCTTCCCCAAGTGGAGGGCAAGAGGGTGGTCATACTTACCCCTTGTTTCTTGGGCTCCCATAGACCCTGTCCCTTCCTGTGGTTGTCATCGTTCACGGCAGCCAGGACCACAATGCTACCGCCACAGTGCTGTGGGACAATGCCTTTGCTGAGCCAGTGAGTCCCCGCCAGGACACCCCCCCCCAGCCCCTCCAGGCCCTCAGAATCTCCCAGGTTCAACCCCTGGGCCCCTGCTGAGTGGTATTCCCCCACCCCAGGACCCGACCACAGGTCAGGGGGCAGCTGGTGTGAGCGCCCTGCCCTCCACATGTCCTCGACTCTGTCTGGGCTCCAGGTCACGGGACTGGGGTCTCCTTGGTTCCTCTAGGCTCTGGTCTGGGTCTGCATCCCTGCACGCCCACCTCCTCTGCCCCTGTCCCCCAGCCTCTCTTTCTCTCTTGTTTGTGTTTTCTTTCTCAGTCCCCTCTGAGACTAAGTGTGTGTGTGTGTGTGTGTAAATATCTCCTACTCCCTCACTCTGCCTTTTTTCCTTTTCTTCTCTCCCCCTCCAGGGCAGGGTGCCGTTCGCGGTGCCCGACAAAGTCCTGTGGCCGCAGCTGTGCGAGGCGCTCAACATGAAATTCAAGGCCGAAGTGCAGAGCAACCGGGGCCTGACCAAGGAGAACCTCGTGTTCCTGGCGCAGAAGCTGTTCAACAACAGCAGCAGCCACCTCGAGGACTACAACGGCATGTCCGTGTCCTGGTCCCAGTTCAACAGGGTGAGGGACGGGCGTGCGCCTGCTGCCTGCCGGAGACCACTCGTGCCCTGCCTCCTCCCCCACCTCACAAAGAGTTACTGCCCGTGGTCAGCTGCCCACCTCCACCCTCAGGCCCCCTCTCCTACAACCAGGAGAGACAGGGTTGCTACCCCAAGGAATCTCGGCAGCCATGAGAGCTAAAGCAAGGCAATGGAAGGAGCCAGAGCTGGGTGTCAGCATCCTGGGATTCCCATCCTAGATGTGTTAACTGATTTGCCCAGCCCCGTCCCTCCTCTGTGCTGCAGTTTCCCCATCTGTGAAATGAAGGGGTGGGGTAGGAATGACTTTGGAGGTCTCGTCCAGCTTGGACAATTCTTTGCACTTCTGACCCTCACTCCATGGGATTGCCCTGGACCCCTGGGTTTGAGAGGCAGGAGGCCTTTTTACTCTCTGGTTCTCTAGGATACGAGTCAGGGTGGCTGTATCAGTTTGTGGACTGCTGGAGTCTAGGGCTGGCAGGATGAGGAACTGGGAGAAGGTCTGGGTGAGGACCAGTGGGCACTGTTTTCTGGACCACCTGTGACTTGGGGTTTCCCGGGGGCTCTCAGGAGAACTTGCCCGGCTGGAACTACACCTTCTGGCAGTGGTTCGATGGGGTCATGGAGGTGCTGAAGAAACATCACAAGCCCCATTGGAATGATGGGTGAGGCATGGGGGCCCAGGAGTTGGGAGGTCATGGGCTCAGGGGACAGTGGCTGCTGGCTCAGCAGTGACACCGTATGCTCCATGCACCCAGAGCCATCCTAGGTTTTGTGAATAAGCAACAGGCCCACGATCTGCTCATCAACAAGCCCGATGGAACCTTCTTGTTGCGCTTTAGTGACTCAGAAATCGGGGGCATCACCATTGCCTGGAAGTTTGACTCTCGTGAGTGCCCTGTGTTGCCCACACTCCACGACCTTGTCTCCCATTTCTGTGTTCCCCATTCTCCATCAGGCCTGCATCCTTCAAAGATGCCCAATGGGGAAGATGGGAATTGAACTTGGAGGATGGGAGGAGTATTGCTCAGAAACACATTCCCTTTCTAGGGTTTTCCATTTGGGAGAACCTAAAATCACTGGCCCCCTTGACTCCAGAACTTCCAAGCGAGTCTTTGAGCAGTGTCTACTCTCCTTTGTCTGTCCTGACGCAGCCTTGTTGGTGTCTGCTTGCCCGTAGTCACCTCCTTGCCCTATGCAGAAGAGCACAGGGTGGGGGTTGCATGCAGGCTAGTAAAAGCCGGGATGTCTCTGCAAACCTGCCCCCAGCCCTGATCCTCCTCCTGAGGGTGGTGGGTTGTGGGAACGAGCTTGGCCTCTTCACAGCGGACCGCAACCTGTGGAATCTGAAGCCATTCACCACACGGGATTTCTCCATCCGATCTCTGGCCGACCGGCTGGGAGACCTGGACTATCTCATCTACGTGTTTCCTGACCGGCCCAAGGATGAGGTCTTCTCCAAGTACTACACTCCTGTGCTCGGTGCGTCCGGCCCTGATGCTCTTGGGGCTAGTCAATGTGGCCGCCCCAAGAAGAGCCCAAGGGCATTTCCCCTGTGGGTGTGGATCCATGGGACGGTGCAGAGCATGCACAGAGGGTTTCAGGGCTCACAAGTGAAGACAGGGAAAGCGATACCTCTTCCCAGCTTTATTCCCTGCAAAGCAAAATGCCAAGTGGACTCTCACTTCTGTGCCCTTGGTGAAAGAGGCTACGGGCTGCAGGGAGGAGCCGGGATAATGCAAACCCACAGATAATGCACTACTCCCCTCTTAATCAGCTGCCCTCACCACTCTCCACCCTCAGACCTGCCCCCAAGTTGAGTGGAGGAAGCAAAATGGATAGGTTTTTTCTCTTCAACCTGTCCCTGGTCCATTGGTTGGGTCTGCTCGTTGGTGTTGATTCTGTTTCCTGGGTAGGGGGTGGGGGCAGGGAGAGAGAAAGCTAATGGCTAGAAAAGGAAGCTGGAGAAGGAATGAGCCAGGGGTCTAGGGGGGCCCTCAGGCTGATGTTAATTGGGAGTCTGTGGGAAATCTCATCCTTGCTAAGGCCCCAGGGCAATGTAGGGAGGCAGCAGACTGCATGGGTGTGTTTCCACCCACTGAGGAGCTCCCAGAGACTGGTTCTCATCACCATCCCCTCTCCCGCTGCAGCCAAAGCAGTGGACGGATACGTGAAGCCACAGATCAAGCAAGTGGTCCCTGAGTAAGTGTCCCGGGTCCGGCTCTGGTCTTGGGGCTGCCTCTTTTCTCCCCCTATCCCCTCCCCACCTCCTCACCTCTCACCGTCCCCCTCCCATTGAGGGGCCCAGTGTTCCCTCCCCCTCACACCTGGCCCAGCCCTGGGGAGGGAACTGGGCCTGCTCATGAGGGGGCCAGTACCCAGGGGAGGGAACTGGGCCTGCTCACGAGGGAGCCAGTACCCAGGGCTCCGCTCCTGCAGCCAGAGCCCCAGGCTCAGCGGGCCTTTGTCCTTCTACACCTGAAGAAGACATGAAGATGCCCCCTGAGCCCCTCTCCACATCAGTTAATGCTCCTCTCTGCTCCCTCCCACAGGTTTGTGAGCGCCTCTGCAGACTCTGCTGGGGGCAGCGCCACCTACATGGACCAGGCCCCCTCTCCAGCTGTGTGCCCCCAGGCTCATTATAACATGTACCCACAGAAGTAGGTTGTGTTCTCCTGGGGCTTGGAGGGGAGGAACTGGGCACTTGGCCTCAGGCTGGGCCCCTGGAGGGCTGGTGGGCAAAGGCATCCAGAGTTCCCCTAGGTCTGAGACCACCCAGCCCAGGCCAGGCACTGGCACTGGCCCAGGTGAAGGGTGGGTGAGATCAGCAGATAAAAAGCATAGAGCATTTTGAAACTACACATAGCAGCGTCCTTGCTCTGGTACTGACAAGCTGTGTGACCTAGGGAAAATTATTGAGCCTCTCTGATACACAGTTGCTTCATCTGTAAAATGGAGGCAGGAATACCTACCACATGGGATGGGGTCAGGACTAAGTGAGAGAGCACAGGTAGAGGATTTAGCACAGATGAAGCTGTTGTAAGGGCTTGATACAGGGTAGCTGTGGATGGAGTGATTATTCTTAGGAGTTGTGTGGGAACGGGGTATCAAATGCTCTTCTCTGGAGTTCCCAGAGCAGAGAGTTACTTCTCTTTTGAGTTGTGGGTGGCCTGCTGCAGAGAGCTGACCGCAGGCTTGGGAGTCACAAACCAGAATTCCAATCCTGACTCCACCTGCCAACCAGGTGGCCCTGAACAAGTTTCCTAACATACTGGAGCCTCAGTTTCCTTCTCTACAAAGTGGAATAAAGGCTTGCCTCACAGGTGGCTGTGAGGATTGGCGTAAGCTGGTTGAGAGGCCCAGGGCTTCACAGGTTCTCAGTGAATGGTGCCTGGGATTTCATGGATTAGTGTCGAAGGTGGGCAGAGCTCACTCCCCCAACCACCTCGTTTTACAGATGAGGACAGGGACGGGGAAGGGAATTCCCTGAGACCATTCAATGAGGTCGTGAGTGATGAAACTAGAACTGGGGTGTCTCCCAACAAGCCAATGAGTGATTCAACTTGGGGTGTGGGAATCTAGCCAGTGCTGCTCCTGTTCCCAGGAGACCCTAGTCCCCCAGCTGTCCCCCAGGAGCTTTGCGCTGTGAGGCATGCCAGTGGCCTCTTACACCCCTCTCTCTCCACCAGCCCTGACCCCGTCCTTGACCAGGATGGAGAGTTCGACCTGGATGAGACCATGGATGTAGCCCGGCACGTGGAGGAACTCTTACGCCGCCCGATGGACAGCCTGGACCACCGGCTCTCCCCGCCTACTGGTCTCTTCACCTCTGGCAGAGGCTCGCTCTCGTGAATGTTTGAACCCCACACTTCTCTTCGGAAACAATACTCAATATGAAGGGTTCATATTCAGTGTGATTTTATTTTTCTATTGCTGTGCCTGTTGATGGCTTTGCAGGCAGCACACGGCCCTGTGCACGTGTGCGTGCATGTATATGTGTATGAGGTGGGCCCGCCTCGCCTTCGCAGTCCCAGGCACGTGGCTGCAGCAGCCGCTGCCTCTTTCTTCAGAGAGAGGTGTTCCAAGAGCCCACTGGGTCTGTCCTTTGCAGGTACTCAATGCAGGCAAACCAACTCCTGCCAGAGCCTTTGTCTGCCCAGCAGCTGTTTGGAAGAAATTGTTCAAGAAGGGAAAAGAGACAGATAATGAATGTCTCTAAGCTCCACTGTGACTCCTGAGTTAGAAGCTTCACCTCCCAAGCGTGTGTGCATCTGCTCTTGTACAGAGCAACATACGTGTTTGTCTCTTGATTCTTCCTCACAGGAGGGAGGCTGGGGTTCAGTTTTGAGAGATATTTTATACTTTGATGAATATGGACTTCAGACTTTTTGTGAACTGAGCTGATCTAGGCCATGGCCATGTTCCTAACAGCAGAAATGGGTCATTTTCGTTGGGGCCTGTTGGAGCTGCTCTGAGGATGGTGTTTCTAGGCCTCCTGGCCTCCAACCAGGGGGCTCTGGCTTCAAGTCTATGAGGCCACTGCCCACAAGCCTACTCTTTCCACCCACTACCCCCTTCCCTCCGGCCAGCCTCAGCCTTCTTTCCTCACCTGTCTTACTTACTTCCTACTTACTTATGGGAAAGATGAAGGGGAGTGGGAGAGACTGCAGTAGGACGTGGTGGTGACCAGAAGGCCCAGGGCTTGCAGGGTTGATCCCTTCCCCTCCTGGAAAAAACCTGCCGCAAGAAGCAGCATCAGGGGCCTGCCGCATGCCTGTGGAGTCTGGAGTGAGGGGTAAAAGCTGATTGCCTTCCGCTGTGCTGGGAGGTGGAACCTGGAACAGGCTTCATCACAGTTGCATAACTGGCTGTGGTCTGAGGCCTGGCTCCCAACCTCACACACTCCTCCCTCTGAGGCTGCCGCGTGCAGCCCAGGGCAGTGACTGGGAGTCCCAGGATGACACATCTCTAAAGGAAGGTGGGGATGAAAAGAGGGATTCTTTTGTACTCTGTACATAGGCCATACATCTGTGTAAACTGTGTTTTTGAATAAATTTTTTTTCCATAAATTTGCTGGTATGGCTCCTGGGTCACAGGGACCGCTGGAGTCGTTTTGTTCCTTTCCTCCCGCTTGGCTGGTGCTGCAATGTGTAGCCTGAAGCTGCCACTCTGCTCCCTTTTCTGTGGTTTTAAGGGTGCCACCCCCCTCCCAATACTGTCAGTGCCTCTCAGAAGACTAAAGAAGTCGAGGTCTTAGGTAAAGATAGGGCAGGAATTACTGAGGGGTGGGGAGAACTTTGGTCCCTGCCTCTCCTTATCAGCTGCTGCTATAAGCAATCTTGAAGGTGGCGGCTGAGGGCCAGGGCCCAGACATTCTCAATACCCCTGCCCCTGCTGGAGAGGGGTGGGCACCGCCAGAGCCTCACAGCAGTCCCTCCTCCCCTGGCCTCTCCCCAGAGACCAGCAGGTGGCACCATCCCACTGCCACTGCGTTTTCAAACGGTCGGCCTGAGAAAAGGACGGTCCCCCGTTTGGCCCCTGGCACCTAGAGCCCAGGGGCTGTCACTGAAGGCCTGGGTATGGGGAAGCAAGACCGATGACAAGGTTACTTCAGGGATCAAAGCAAGGGAAGAGGGGCTCGCAGGGGCCCAGCGCGGGGCTGGCGGGGTGGGCGGGCGGGGAAGCAGCGCCGGAGCCCTGAGCGCGCTAATCTCCAGCCGCATCTCTGCAGAGGAAGGCGGCGCGTATCTCCCGCACGGGCTCGTCTCCAAGGTGCTCGGCGGGGGGGGAGGGGGAGCCAGCCGAGTGGGCGCCGAGGTCGGTTAATTATCACCGCCCACGGCCCCGGGGCCCGGAGCCTCGGCCGGTTAAGTGTTGACGACCGTCCCCACGGAGCGAACTGAAGAGAAAATGATAATGGAGTCAACTGTGAAAGGGGAGGCCTAGGGGGTGGGAGTGTCTGCGCCCCAACCCCCCTTAGGTAGCTTATCTGACCCCAAACAGGACTCGGTGGCTTGAAAAGGCCCCCGGGAGGGAGGAGGGAGAAGGGAGGCGGGAAGAGGGAAGCGGGAGGAGTAAGGCCCCTGGCTCCTCCAGGTACCCCTGAGCTGGAGGCTGGTGGCCAACATAAGATGGGGGTGCTGGGTGCACCAGAGGTGGGCCTGTGTCAACTAGGGCATGAGAGGCTAAGGCCACCAGCCTGGGAATAGGGGCAACCACCTCCTCTCAATACCCAGGCACCACCTGTGTGTGAGGCCCCCTAAGAACTGAAGCAGGGGAAGAGGGAACAGCCAGAGACAGAGCTGTCACACTATCAGACAGTTTGCTATATAACTTTTATTTCTGGAAGTTAAAGTAGATACAGCAATATACAAAAAAAAAAAACCAACAATAATATAAATTTTTACACTATTAAGTAAGTATACATTGGAATCTGAATGCAGTGATCAGGACAGAATCTCACAAACCAATTGGGTAGGTTGGCTACCCATGGGAATCCCTCAGCTGGGCTGGGCAGGGGTCAGGCGGGGGGTTGGGGGGGAGAAAGCGGGCAGGTCCAGGAGGACTGGGTTCTTTGAGGGAGGGGCCAGAACTAGTCTCAGCCCCTCTCAGGGCTTCTGCTACAATCAGGGTTTAAACCAGATACACAAGCTACCTAAAAGCCACAGATTTTACAATTTCTGTTCCAGCAAAGCCGAGATTCACGCCCCAGGTCCCTCAAGTTAAGCTTATGATTTAGAGAGTGTTGCTGGAGGGAGATTGCTCTGTACTACCTATCAACCCGTTTGTCTTGGAGAGAAGGTGTCGTCCCTTCAAAAACTGGCGAATTTAGGTGTAATGAATAGCATTCCCTAGAAGCTCTCTGGTCAACTGGGACAAGGTGGTTTTGGACCACCCTATCCAGCCATGCCTCTGGGTCTGAGGAAGCCCCATATCAGAAACCACCTTGCAGCGTACCAAGTGGTTCTGCGATGCACACTAAATGTGAGTTGTTCTGCCTCATTGCGGGGCCCCGTGGGGAGGGGACAGTCACCAGCGTTGGGGGGAGGCTGGGGTGTACACTCCCTCACCCAAGGGACAGACCTGGAGCTTATCATTAAGCCTTTGCCCCTGGGTTAACCAAGTGAAGTGATTACAGGTGCCGCAGGAAATCACCAAGAAACTGGGATAAGAACCATATTCCCTGAGCTCAACCAGACCCTTGACTAGGGCCCCAGAGTCTAATTCATGTTCAACCTGTAACTTTCTTCCTCGTATTCCAGGAGGTCCCGAGACCAGGATTCCTAAAGCAAATAGGACAAGGGACCTTTAGACACTGGAAGGAGCCATGCCACCAGGGGGGCTCAGGTGGACTTGGGGAAAGGAAGAATCACCTCCCCCCATCCCTTATAAGGCACCCACAGAAACCACCCGGGCTCAGAAGGCTCAGAAACAGGAGCGAAGTCCAGGGAGATGGGGAGGATGGGCTGTAAGGCGCTCCGCTGCCCAGCCTCACCTACTGATAGGCTAACACATCAAAGCAGAAAATAAAAACTTGGTTTATATAAAAAAAAATCTAGGATGTTTAGGGTCTCTTTCAGACTTCCTATTTCAAAACCAAAGGCTAAGCCACATCTTCAGGTGTGTTTTAAGGGTTGGATCTGAAGCTCATGTCAGGGTTTATATAAATTGTCAGCCTGAAGAAAGCTGAATGCCTAAAGCACCACAGAGGCTATTAACTGAGTTTTCTTAAATACAGAAAAGGCTATGCCGATACAGTGTTTTTTGCCCTTAAAAAATTGTTTTTAACTTTAAAAAGAAACTTAGGGGCTTTGAAAGTCCTATCTTCTATTTGGACATTAGCAAGGTTAAAAGTGCAATGCCAGGAGTATGTAGCTAGAGGCGGCCCGTGGCATTAGCTTACAGAAATAGGCAGAGGGATGCCGCTGGCACCAGGAGGCACTTTTCTGACAAGGACAACAAGCTGCTGAGAAAGGAGGGCAGGGGGTGGGGGCAAAACCAGACAAAACGTTTCTTCTTCCTCCCTCTCACCAACCCTTCCACACCCCCGATCACAGTCTCAGAGAGCACATTCTTATTTGCATTTAGATAAAAGTGTGTCCTCACATTCACTCATTTCTCTATTTTAAAAGGTGCCCAGATTGCTCAAAGATAGCCGAAGTAGGAGACGAAAAGAAAGAAAATCTGGAACCACAAAGTTGGGAGTTGAGCTGATCTGGGGCTGGGCTGTTTAAGGGGTGGTGGAACACAGGTAGGTGCCTCGTCATCTCTCTCTGCGGCTTCAGTCCTCGGCTCCTCACATCGGGGAGGTAGCGCACTCCGAGGTCAGCTCCATGTCGAATGTGAGGGACTCTGGGAGGACATACAGAGAGGGCAAGTTCAGTCGCCTGAGCCCTCCAGCTGGCCGGGCACGCACCCCTGGCCTTTGGGGGATGGAGGCTCAGGCCATCCCTGCCATCCCATCTCCTGCCCCTTGGGGCCAAGACAGGGTCAGATCACCCAGATTCACTCTGCCCTCTGGAAGGGCTCAGCCTCCTTCCTACCTTAACTCATTCCCAACTCGTCATGTTTAAAGAAGCTGTAAGGATGCCCTGCTGAGTGCAGCCGCCTGGAGCCACTGAGAGGTAGCCACCCCCTCCCCCCCACCAACCGAGATGGGCTGTTGCCTTAAAACACCCAGCAGATTTCAAAGACAGCACCCAGAAAGAACCTCATTTATTTTTTCCTAACGTAAAAATGCTACTCTTGAATTTATTGGGCTGAAGAAAATACATTCTTAAAATTAACCTCACCTGTTTTCATCACCTGTTTTCAGTGTGGCTACTAGAAAAAATATACACTTGCACGGGGCAAGCCTGCCACTTCTATGGGAAAGGCTGCTTGAGGGCTCCTCCTACCAATGCGGGAGCATCACACCCAGGGGGCTGACTTCCCCCACAGGGACAAGGTCCAACAGCTGGATGGATACTCACCAAACTGCCCTCCTGCTGAGGGCTCAGCACCTTCACCATTATTTCCAAACTGCATCAATGAATCTAAAGTGCGGGGGGACATCGGCAGGTCAATGGTATTGCTGCAGGTCGTTCTGTAGGAAATGGGGAGCAGCAGGAGGGGAGAGGGCCGGGTTGACAAGACACAATGGAGAAAAAAAAAAAAGAAGAACAAAACACACACACACAAGCCATCAAACTCTGGTCTCCAACAGAAAAATAAAAGCTCAAGCTTTTTAAACACACGAGGCCACTTTGAGTACTGAACATAGCTCAGAGGGTTCCAACCCTTCATAAGAGAACTCTCACCCAGTGTTCTGTTCCCAGGGATAACTGAGGACATTAGAAATGAAGGCGGAATTGGGAAGGGAAGCCACTTACGGTGTCACACAGATAAACTTGGTCTTCAGATACGGGGCAGCACCTGGGAAGAAGAAAACTCGGGCTTACTGATGGGGGCCCCACTCTGGGTACCAGGCAGGAGGAAGCTGGCTGCCTCCCCAGGGCTGACTCGGAACTCACTCCATCCTTGACCAGAGATTGTCTGGAACCTCCACCTCCCCTCAGGCGGCCTCCTTCACTGTGTACTGTTCGATGTTCTAGCACTTGCAGCTTGAAGTTCAGTTCTTTCCCTAAGGCTTTCCTGAATTTCTTCAGCAGACCTTTGCTCGCACCCCCGCCCCCCAAGCCTAGACGGGCGCCAGCTTGGTGTTCATTCTTCCCTTACATCATGTAAAAAGTTTAACTGCCTGTATATGGACTGAGGATTGTATTCTGGCCTGGTGGTATCTCTTAGGTAACTTCTCTGTGAGCAGGACTGGGTCCACGCAGTCTGGGCCCGGCATCTTGCTCCGATACCCAAGTCACCGAGTCTTTAAGAGAACATGGAAATGGCTATTGCAGTTCCAAACTTGAGGGTTACAAATTCCGTTCCTATCAGCACTTCTCTGCCTGTATTACACTTTGAGCTGAGGGTATTAGTGCTCCCTCATTGGACAGCACTATCACATGGAAGAGCCTCTCTATACAGGGAGATGTCTTGTGGTGCCGTAAATCAGCGGTGGTCTGGGAGACAGGAG